AAAGTTCAATGTAGATGAGGCCTCTTGAAACGTCGACGTTAGCAGATAGATAAGCGTAAATCCAAAGTAGTCCCCCTCATACATTTCAACAACCATCCCTTATGTACCTATTACTCAGTTCTGGATTTTTCTGGTAAAAGCCACGCCACAATCATCTCGGCGCTTCCAGAATCAGACCGGAAGCAAAACAAAGGGAGGTTACTCTAACTCATCAGCTTACCATCTTAACAGGTGAAAGGGCACAGCCTAAGTTCAAGGTGTGAGTTCAAATCCACCCTCAGCTCTTTAAACGTTTGTGACCAATAATAACTAACAGTAAGTTAATGTGACTACCTTCAAAAGCCATTGGGTATCGCTGTTGCCACCACTCTTTCAAAAAAAGTCACCCGTCCAATAAATGAATAAATGAATAAGTTAAATTTTACAACCAGACTGACGTGCATATTTGGTGCCATTGGACTCTTGCATTTTCCGTTATGGATCTATGTTTGCTTATAACACGTCATCATATTCTATCCAAATAACATAAAGAGACAGTCAACGTTAATGTTCCTTTTGATGTCGTCTGGGTGTACCGTGGAACATGAAGACCGGTTGCGATGTCTTCAGTCTTCGTTCCCGCCTTTGGCACCCATATGTCCTCGCTCGATAGATACATGGTTCTGCTTCGATCGTCATAGGACTGATCCTGTTCTACGAGTGGGCATAAGACAGCGTCAAGGATGCCGATTCGAATGACCTTCCTGTCGGATATGTGTCTGCGATGCCTGGCTTCCAGGCTCGCCGAAGGACGTTTATGCCCCCGCTGGGAGGACCTTGCATAATATATGGAGTCTGTTTCTGTATGAGAAAAGAAAGAAAAGAACTGATTGCCATTACCATGAAGGCAAACTTTGTTTGACACGTGAAAGTTGTTGTTTAAGATTACACAAAGATTTCGTTTCACATTTTGTAAGTCTTACAAATTGGTCACAAAACCTATTACAGTTATGTTAACACTGCCACGCGTGCCAATTTGTAGGCTTGTTTCCATTACGCAACTTGCATTGAGCTTACGTTACTATTAATGTCCTTTCGTCGTCTTTGTGGTCTCGATAATCAAGGTTTACTTTCGGCTCACCATGACACGTTAAATAAGACACCAGTTTCATTACACCCGAAAATCCGTATGTGCTGTCTTGTCCGTTTTGCAGGAGGCACAGAATGACCAGCGGTGTGATATTTCAGCTGTTGTCCAGCTATATAGCGGCGGTCTGTTAATAATCGAGTCTGCACCAGACAGTCAAAGGACTGACAACATGAGTATCGATCTATGCAATCGGGATACCAAGACATGTGTCAACCAAGTCAGCGAGCCTGACCACCCAGTGTTTGCCCTTAACTCTGAAAAGCTGAAGGCCCTAAGGACCCAGAACCATAAAAAGTTGTGGGTCCTGATCAGAATGTGTAGGCCCTATATTTTAGCTACAATATAAGTAATCCCCAGCAAACGAAAAATATGACAACTAACAAACTGAGTTAACAGGGGCGTAGCTGCCATATAGGCAAAAAGGCAATTGTCTACAGATAATTTTGTAAAACAAAATATTAAAAAAAGGAAATGATAAATTTGAAAGAAAAATGTTACAGGTGAATTTATTTCAACATGCTGAAAGCATGGATATGTACGTATAATAATTGCATTCTAAACTTTTTTCCTACACATAATAATTGGGTCAGATGCGCCCCTGGTTAAAGATTTTAATTTAGAAATTTAAACTAGAAATTACTGAATCATATTTTCAGAAAAATAATACTCTTAGTTATTGGGGCTGAAAAAGCTGTCGGACCGACGTTAATTTCGAACGCTGTGACCATCCGATCCCATCAGTCGCCTTTGACGACAAGCATGGGTTGCTGAAGTCTGACCCGGATCTTCACGGCCTGTGGTGTCATATACTGTAACTACCTGTATGTGTATATATATGCTCCCATTTTTTACACATGGTATTTGTGACACACTTTAAAACATAGTAATTTAAATATCACAAAATGCGATATATACGGCATTTGCTTTGGGCGAAATACCAGACATGTGACCGCGACACTCACGTTCATTAGCGTATGAACGACACAATTTGACGCTGAAACATTTTTTCGCGAGACTATGTTCTTGAAATGACGTAAGCATTGACGGACTTCGTCCACATTTTTTGTAAAAAACGTGCATTTCCTAATACGAATACATAAAGAAGTGTGTTTTTTTACAATTCAGACCCTTTAATCGAACTATGCGTTTTAGCGTACATTAAGTCAAGCCAGAGAGTCTGGCGTTATGGTCGTTCAAGAATATGCTCGCTACAAGCCATCCAAGCGATCAAAACGAAGAAATGCGCATCAAAACTATCGTGTGATCGACTCGATTCCTGTCCAGACTGACAGTGTCGGGAATTTATGAAATTACCTTCAGTCAGTATCTACAATATCTGACATATACTTACAATTACTTTTCAATGATCGGCCAGTTGATCAATGATGACGAACACGTGTAATCGTCACTGCAGTTCTGATATCTCTCGGTCACGTTTATCGTGTTGGCCATTTTGGTGTCTAGTACTTATAAGTGTATGTGTAAATGCATTACGATGCGCTGATTTCCGCTGATTAACATACTTTACTCACCTTATATGACATAACAGCAAGTGGGTATGGTTTTACGCTTCTTTTAGCAATATTCCAGCAATATCACGTGGGAGACACCAGAAATAGGGTTCACACATTGTACCCATGTTGGTAATCGAACCCCCTGACAAGCGAACGCTTTAACCACTAGGCTACCCCTGATATAATTTGAATATAGTTGTCCAAAAACAAGATGACTGATATAACTGTGTACATAAATATTTATTGACACACTGAAACAACAGAAACAAAACATAGTTTCTGTTTTCATACACATATAAATTATTCGTCATATGCACATAACAAGTTTACAGCAATATTTTTATTGCCATTTGAGTTAGCATTACTCAAACACATATTTACATAGAATATGAACATTTTACATTGGAACATATCTTGCTTTAGCAGTAAAGGTAGCATTAGTGTATTTCTACATGATTAACAGTGACATCATCTGTATAGGTTAACACTGACAGGATCTTGGGTGGCACTATTATGATCTGGGGTAGCACAGGTATGACCATCCTTCCACTGTCTGTACAGGGCACTATTCTTGCTGTGGGTTGTTTTGTGTCCAGCGCTCTTCAAGTTGCTGATAAACAAGAGACATTCAACATCTAACGGGAAGGGTGTAGGACATTACCTTCATGTTTGGTCGATGAAGAAATGTAACCTGCCTTTATCCAGTTGACAATCTCCAGTATGGTATGTCTATCTGGTCATGATTTGAGAAACAGTGAGCTGCTTATAGACTCCAGTTGTATACCTAGCTGGCTGTGCTTTACCAATATTCACTGTATGATTCTTTCTGCGTGTACTTGTTAATCAAGAAATAGTCCTGTTAACTTGTTTTCATATAAATGGTTCACAGGATTCTTCTCACTGAGTATTATATCTGTACATGTTATTGTAACCTGTAACAGTGTTTGTTGGGATTGGTCTCAACAATCCTGATGCAAAACCATCAATGCATCCAAGCTTGACATAACAGATATTATGCCATGCCTAGACTTGACTGCTTCCCCAAGCAAGCACCTGTCAAGCAAGTTAATCACTTGTTTCAGCACCTTCTTTCACCATACTGATTTCAGGCTGTCCTCCCACAATAAACTGGCATGCAATAGCATTACAGAAATCTGTTCACAAAGGCATTAATTCACAGGCCCCGTAGATCATATGCCTCTCTGTACATACACTTTTAGTAAAGACCCAAAATGTGTATTTATCTCACTAATAATTTTTTTTATCAAATTTCAAACAGATTCAGTAGCAAAAGATTCCAGGAATAAGTGTATTCCACATCATTCAAAACCGCTATCAGATCTTCTGCTTATTCACATTTTATGATGTATTACCTATCAATGGCCAAAATGTTTTGAAACTGAATGATTTTGTGGGTATGTTTTTTCAGGAGAACTAACCTGGGATAAAAAACCATGAAACACGAGTTCTCATAATGCTGAACCCTTTTCCTCCTCCGAGTGCCAGACATTTATCAACATTGAGTCATTAACTTGTTTACAGATTAATATCGATGTAAATAGGGCAGAATTATGTTATTAGACCAACAAAAGCCATATGAATTGCTCCCTTCTAGTGTGTTGGATGAAATGTGTGCTGAGGAATGTCTTAATGGCTTGATAAGGAATTCATTTTGAAAAACATGAACTGGCAAAAAGCTCAATGAAAATTTGTTATGTTAAATCCCAGTTTGGATGCTCTTTCTCTTGAAAAAATAATAATAGTGTTTTGAAAACCAAATTTCTTTATGTTTAAATACAGTCTGGTTGTAATTACAAGAAGACATACCAGCTGTGCAAAGAATATCAATCTAACAGATAATGATTACCCTAATTACAGGTCAACCAGTTCTCAATTAGTTCTGTGCACTAAATATAAGCATCATTAAATACAATTTCCTACAAGAAGTGAACAATGCATATTCACATTAGACCATCCATATTCTTTTCATGTTTCTCATCTCAAATCTCAAACAGAAGAGAGCTGGGGGTGAAAAAAAATCGAATCCAATAAATAACATAAAAGAGTGTTTTGATAAATACAGATGAAGAAAGATTAAGTGGACCTTTTTACGAGAGTGCAAGGGTAAAAGTATCCTTTTCATCACATCAGGGCATAAATGTTAAGAAGACAACAAATTGGTTGGTTTGTTGTTGAACAGCACACTCAGCAATATTCCAGCTATATGGCAGCGGTCTGTAAATAATCAAGTGTGGACCAGACAATCCAGTGATCAACAGCATGAGTATCGATCTACGCAACTGGGATATGATGATGTATCAACCAAGTCAGCAAGACTGACCACCCAATGCCGTTAATCTCTTCTTACGACAAGCATTTGTTGCTGGCGACCAATTCTTACCCAGATTTTAATGGATGGAGACAAGCATGGGCTGGTGAAGACCAGTTCTAACACGGGTCTTCAGGGGTAAGACAACATGTAACTTTAGGTCTGGTGGATAATGGTGATATGACAATAGTTTTCCATTCATGAAGTCCTGGCGTTGCACATGAATAACTAATGAACTGGATGTAAATAGGGATAGATGTTGCCATAGTAATCCAGAAAGTGGAGACTTGAGAAGTAGATGATGAGACGTTTACTGACAGTATCAATGTCCATATCAGATCTTGAGTAAATATATAGTGTGGTGACCTCAATCATGGTTTGTCCATCTGAAACATATTCTCCATTGGAGCATATACATTAAATCCAAAGGTCACTATATTATGAGATCATAGCCCCCAATAATTCAAGGTGATCTATATTCAAAAGACATTCCCGTCTTGGTAATGATAGTTTCAGATCGTCATATGACAAGCGATGTGAGTAGCAAATGCTCCTTTGAACCAAGAACACAACAATCCCAAACACAAAATTTAAGCACTTTAACAAGTGGAAATGACAGTGCCAAGAATACATGCCTATCCTGATTCCAGAATCTTCTCCAAGTCCTCCACAGTGTTAACTGGTAGAGAGCATGAGTAGTTTTCACAGACATAAGCTGTGGCCTTGTCATCCACCTTCTGCAGGGTCTTTAGGATATCTAGGTTCTTGTACAGGAAGCTGTCCACGTTGCCATCAGCTAGAAGCAACACCTTGTTGGGAAGGAAGTGCTTGTGGACTGTCCTCAGAAGGGCCTTGGTGTCCTCTGACTCTCTGTCTCCTGCAATGATGATCTGAAACAAAGACATCATCTCTCAGACACCTGAGTGAACATGGTTGAGTACTTAACCTTGCCAGTATTCAGTATGTTTCCAGCTGAATATGCTTCTTTGATTGAAACAAGCAACTAAGCCAAACAGTCAATGCCTGTACAAGAAAATTCCGCTCATTAAGATTGTAAGTTGGAACACATATTTTCTGGAAAGCAAAATTGCCTGAAAATAACATCTATCATGTGATCACTATGAGTGCAAACAGGGCTGACTGTAAGGTGACAAGTACCTGACCTCACATCAAGCTTCATGTCATGACATGCTACAGGTCAGCAGGATGGCATCTGGCCATTCAGATATCCATACACATGGAACTTAATTAAGCACACACACCCTCCAACCCCCCACTGCCCCATATTGCCATGAAACTGAGCAACCATTACCATTAGTATGTATACTGGAAAGTCTAAAAGCCATTGTTTCCTGAAAGTTGACATTTTGGACTAAACCATAGCAACAAAATCATGAAAATGTGCAATACAATAAATTTACAAAATGACATGAAAACGTCAATGATGTTTTGTCAACAAAATGTATCCCTGTACAACTATGGGGCTGCAGAGTTCCAAAATGGGAGAGGTGAGTGTCTCTCAGTCTGAAAATGTTCTCTGTCATCTTCAGACAACAAATCACATGAAAATGTTAATAGTGTACATATCATGGATGACTGCTTTGACCCTCTTCCTCATGCTTGTCATGAGTCTCTGGATTCACTCCAGATGCAGCTGCTACCACTCCTGGCGCAAAGCTGCTTCCAAACATGCCAGATCTTGTACAGGCAGATCCAATGGGTTCAGATCCGGGCTCATAGCAGGCCATGGAAGTTAGGTTACAGCATTGTTGGAGAAAAACTGTCACAAGTCAGGAACAATGTGGTCAGGCATTGTCATCCATAAATACAGGGCGAGTGGCTAATGGGTGGTTTTCAAAATGTGACACAAGAACAGGAACCAGAATGTCCCGGATGTCATGGTCGCCACTGAGATTTCCACGAACACTTACCAAGTCCAGTTTACAATCATGGGAGAGACAACCCCCTTGTGGGAGAGACAAGCCCTTCATGACATCCAGATGTCGTGCATTCCAATAATTTGCCATCTTCTTGCTCCTGGTAGTCATCATTAAAAGTTTTGGCGTCTTATACAGTTAGCCGCAAGAGTTAATAGTGCTTTTTGAGACAATTGTGGGTAGTGTGCTTCAACTGCATATTGGGATGTGTTGCCCTAGCAGTGTTGGCACGACCGTTGTCTTGCTGGAAGATGTGATTTCTGTAACGTCCAAAATGTGGTACAACGTGGTGTCTTATGACTTAATCAATATAGCGAGCAGCTGTCACGTCATTTCCTCATACTGGACCAAGATTCTGGAACACCACGGTGTCAGCTAAATGTTTCAGACCGATTGCACCCCACACCATGATGCTTGGACCACCCCACGAGTCTCTTTCAAGAATGCACTCATTGGAAAACAGTTCCCTACGCCTCGCCATACTCTCAGTCTTCCATGGCGCACAATTTGTCTGTCTTGACGTTGTGATGTTACTGAATGTCAGCCCACTGCGTGGACGGTCTTGGATGCTGTTAGTGACCTGATACCACTCCTGCAGTCAGTAGATTGTCTCAACATGAACACCAAAATGATTGGCTACCCTCCGTGCATGCAATCGTCCCAAGACATTGTTCCTCAAGTCGTGGCATAGTGTTTGTGTCAAAACAACAATGATTTCAGGCGAGTTTGGAACTCTCTTTCATTGGTAGGGTTGTCACGACATGCACGTGCATTTTCATTTTCATGAATGTCATACGGAACCTTTTACCATGTCTGCCTTTTTCGGTGCGTTTGATCGATGTGCTTTTTCATCAAAAAACCAACAGATGTTGGTAATGACTGTCAATTTTGATTGAAAAACATGTTAACGATGCAATCATAATAAAAACACCACCTTGCAAGAACAAATTTGGCATTTGGTTTTGAAAAGCGACGTTTCTTTTGTAGTTCAGTATATATTTGTTTAAGTTTTATGAGTGTGACTAGAAGCTAACTAGGAAATATCAACAATGATCCACTGTGAGTGAGTGAGTGAGTGAGGTTTTATGTAGCTTTAAGCAATATTCCAGCAATATCCTCACACATTGTACCCATGTGGGAAATTGAATCCGGGTTTTGTGATGAGGCAACACTCTATTCACGAAGCTAATACACGGCCAAAATCACTGTGAGGTGATTAAATTATCATGGAATAATAATTCACATCGAAAATTCATTATCAATTATAACTACTACAAGCGATATATCAGTATTCAGATATTAGGAAAATATAACCACTGAAGGTTCTGTTTCATATATCTACCAAGTTTTGTTGAACAATATTGAACAGTTCTTGAGTTATGCTCGAGCGAAGCCCACCCCTCACTTTTGGGACTAAAGTCCGAATCGTTTCCATGGAAACCGGGAAAAATAAAAATGCCAAAATCTGTAAAGTAGCAAAGGCACCACTTTGGGATCTGCCTCACATATCTGCCAAGTTTTGCTGAAAGACATTGAGAAGTTTTTCGAGTTGTGCTCGAAGCGAAGCCAAGTCCCCTCACTTTTGAGACTAAGTCTGAATCGTTTCCATGGAAACCGGGAAAAATAAAAATGCCAAAATCTGCAAATAGCAAAAGGCACCACTTTAGGATCTGTTTGATATATCTACCAAGTTTTGTTGAGAAATACTGAACGGTTCTTGAGTTATGCTCGGAAAGCGAAAGCAATCCTTACTTTTGAGACTAAGTCCAAAATGTTTCCATGGAAACCGGGAAAAATAAAAATGCCGTTTTGTGAAAAAATCTGATCTGTAAATATAAAAATAGAATATTAGTTTCATCATGTATCAGTAATAGCTTAGATAAGACTAATGTCAAAAGTAGTAAAACTCATCTCACAGATATACAATTTCACAGATGTTCAAGATAAATCCTAGCCGATATCTAAGGTATCAAGGACTCAAAAGACAAAGTTATGACTAGACGATGATTTAATTAACTGCTTTGATAAAGTTAACATGTCATCACCTACATTAAAATATATTGTGCAAACACTTCAAATTAGGGTCATTAAGCCATCTATTGTAACACCATAATCATCCAAGCAACATGTCAACACAATTAGTGCCAGTTAAATTAAGAAGCATCCAGGACATGTGTCAACACACTTAGTGCCAGTTGAAATAGGATTAGCAGGATTAAGTAATCCCCTGTCTGATCATTTCATTTGTAGGACACACCCCATACGGCATATTCTGTATTTCATTGGTTAGTATAGGGAACACCCATTTTTGTATCATTCAATGAATCATAATCACTTTATTGTTTCAATTTTAGATAAATAGTCACCAACTCCATTTGTTAGTCAGTAGGGTTTAGACTCCCAACACAGGTCTAGCCCTCAAGCCCAGAGGGTTGTACCGACTCTTTGTGGCCACCCCATGTTATGTTTGTTCTTGTTAATAAAATTGTAATTAGCTTCTTGTGACTTCGGACTCTTTGCTGAGCTAATTCCCCCAAGCAGACCAGCACGCCAGTTAGATGAGGGGTTTCACTAGAAAGCTCTCTTGGACCCAAGACCCTTATCATAAAAAAGTGTTAAATAAACATAATGTCATTATTTGCTTAAACACATATACAATCATTGTTACGGGTCTACTTCATGTAGATTGTTAAGAACTCTCTCATCTCTTAATATCTTTAGAAGCTTTCAATCAATGATGACGGGGTTTATTTTTCAAAGTGACAGTTCGATTACAGTTAGTAGACCTGTGATCAATCAGGTCATGAAGGTCGCAGTAACTGATTGGGTATCATTTATGGTCAGGAAATACAATCATGTGAATATTGAAAATTGGCAAAAATACATCAACTTCAATAAAAATGCTTTGGGTAAATCTGTACATCACACACCAACTACCAGTGCAAAGATCTGTTAACTTGGAAGAGTGAAACACAAAGTCCATGAGAGTCAATACATACGTCTGACATTACATAATTGGAAGACCGATATGTAATAAAAGGTGGTAACGTAATTAGTTAAAATGTCACGACGGCGGGATGTCACGAGCAATCTTTTGACCTAAAAGTAAATTTCAGTCAATCACAGTCTGTTTGTCAGCATCCGTAACGTAATCTACATCACCTTACTGACCTCACCAGGCTCAGACAAGGAGTAATGTCATAAATTCATTATCGGTAAATCATTTACTGTGTTTATTGGAACATTACAGAATGAATGACCTATATGAAAAAGACAAAATGGACAGGAATAATTTTATACCCCAAATTAGCTTTCTTTAGAGCTATTTTCATGTAGTCTGTGCACTTATGCCCATGTCAGCATCAATTATCTGAGCTGAGTGATGACAGTGATGGTCGGCCATCAGGCCACTGGCGACAGACGATATTGACAGCAGTTGTGTTTACACAGACATGAATCTTGGGAGGTACAAGGTATGCAGAGTTGGTACATAAATAGCAGCAAGGAAAGAACATGGCAAATAATGGCCTTCCTTGATGTGTTCAGGCAGCTAAAGGCAAGGGGTCTACATTTGGGTAATTTGACTTTTTTTCACATTGGCTGATTCTAGAAAGGTTATTAGCGGTGATGTATTCCCAGTCCATTTTGATCAGGATCCATAGTCACAAAAAGCTCTCATCATGAAAGTAACATTCATTTCCTGCCAAGTTTTTTACTTAAAAGCCTATAATTGCCAATGATACAGGGTGTGATCAAGAAATACCCATAAATTCATAAATTATTCTTTCCATAGGACAGTAAGACCTGGGATGAATTCTTCTTTTCCTTGTACAACCTCATCCCACAAATGAGGCTGACCTTGTAACATGAGGTTCTAACTCAAATGCCAGAAGTGGCAAATGTTTAATGCAAATTTCCTTGCCAAATAGGGGCGGTGGGGTAGCCTAGTGGTT